CAGTTTACCATCATTCAATTGGATTAATTATGTCTTGCTGCAATATAGGATTTTGCTCTGGGTCGATGAATTCTTTTAGTCGATGTATGGCTTTTCATGAATGTATCATAAATCCAACGTGTATGTAATTTGAACAGAGAATGGGATTTGAGGCTTTGTAAAATCAGCAGTTTGTTTTTCTGTAGTGTGCCAATTGATTGCATAGGGTCATTTCAAGTATACATTTAGTTGACAGGCCATTCTCTGTGGTCGCTATCGGCAAATGACATGCAGGCTAATCCATTGTCACGTAAGGACAAGGTGTTTGTGATAGCCTCCTTGCTGTAGATTGAGAAAGATTTATGTTATGGAAATACAGTCAGCAAGTGTCACCCTGATCAGAAAAATTAGACCAAGGTGAAAGCAATGCAGGCTCAGCTCCTCCATTATGCAAGTAATACGTCACAAAAATATGGGCTAGCCTGTGTTATTTCATTGCTGCATGCTGAATGGATCGCCAGATGTGATTTAGGCTAATTGTTTTTTGTTGGCTCCCCTCTTGAAAAGATACTAAAGTTTGGCTGCTTTGTATAGAGCATAGAAAAGACCAATGTATGTTAGGGATGCACCGAAATGAAAATTCTTGGTCGACGCTGAACAAAATGAAACACTGGGCCGAAGGCCGAATACCGAACCGAAGGCCGAATACCGAACACGGTTTTTCACATTTTCCCCCCATGTAGGCCCATATTTTGCCATTGTTTTTTTCACCATTGCATTAATTAAATTGCCAAAATGTGCTTTTTACTGTTTTGTCCTGCTTTTCAAATAAAAAATCAGTTACAAAACAACAATTTAAAAATATTTACTTAACACTGAACTTTTTTTTTTCATTCTAGTAGACATTATACCAACAAAGCACAATATAACTTAAAATTAATAAGTTGCTGAGCAGAAAATACTTCTTTTAGAACATTAGAATATATTACAGATCGCAATTTGAACACTATGTGTGAATGTTATAATAAATGTATTAATAGAGCTGTTGTAGGGTAATTATTATTATCATTAGTATTGTCTTACTTTTTTATTTTATTTTACAGAATGACAGTAAAATTACAATACTATCATTTATGAATGTCAATGGAGTTGTTGCTTTTTCTCGGCATTTATTTTGGCAGAAACCCGCAGGAAGATCTCAGTGCTTCTTTGATTTTCTTGATTCTTTGAAGATCTCAGTTGATTTGCTAATCGTTTAAAGGTAATTTCGCGATTTCAATCATCGTACAGTAGCCTAACCACCAGCTTCAGCCACCTCTTCTTCTCATTGGAGACGTGATGCAGCACTAAACAGTCTCTCGCTGTCGGTGCTTGTAATGATTTCTGCGTCTTTCTCTGATAGTTTTAAATACGTTCACACTGCCGACATGTTTGCTGCATTAGTGCGTGCCTATATTTGATCGTGTTAGTCATTGTTCGGTACATATTTTTCGGCCTTTTCGCTTATTCGGCCGAACACCGAAATATATTTTTTTGCTGTTTTCGGCCAAATATTCGGTGCATCCCTGATGTATGTCAATAGTGATCCAGAATGCATGCTTACTTTCACAGGCCAATTTAGATGGACTGACTCTTATTATGTTTGCTGCATCATCCAGCCTGTCTTTGTACTTCATTTTAATCTCACTTAGCCTACATAACTGCAGGCTGAAATCTAACAATCACATTAAAAGATAATTTTGAAGGAGGTCCATCGGGAAATTACTATTAGACATTATTGTGAGCTGAGGCAGCACGAAGCACATGCAATGACCGCAGAGAAGAATTTTGCTGTGAATGTCTTCCATCCTGGAAGATGTGATAATCAGAGGCTCTGTAACTCTGGGCTGCTCTCCATTAAACGATGTAATGCAGTAACCTTCAGCCCAGGGAAAGTGCTTTTCCTTGTTATGAGTGTATTGACTTTGTTGAAAAGAGCAGGATGGCTGATCACAGGCATATGTTGTGTTTTGGATGCTGTATTTCCTGTCAGGCTTCTTAACTAGCTGGCTTCCACTGGTCAACCAGCTTGATCAGAACACCATGCTAGTAAAATGTGGTGTTGGTGAATATGATAATGTAGCAGGTATGATGTTTCACTTTAATAGTTTTATTCCAGCAAGAATTGGGTCAGTGACCTAATATCTGACCAGAAAAAAAAATCCAGATCTACTAATTTTCCATTAAAAATCCAAATCATACATACAATGACTTCTTCAGTGATGATCATGTTTTTATTTTCTGAATTTGAATTCAATTCAATATTGTCTTGGAAAAAAAGTAAAAAATGTCAGGGTGATATAACTGTCCTGATATCATAATGAAAAAAAAAACGTAAAAAAGAACAAAATTCTTGAGGAAAAAAAAACTTATCGAGTAGTTTAGCATCTTTAATTATCATAGAGACCTCCATGATTGTGTCATGGTCTTTTAAAAATCAGATAATTATCCTTTTTTGGACATGGTAAGAAGGTTATTTGGTGTTATTTTAGCATCCCTTTTAGTATTCATATTTAGAATTTTTATTTAAATATTTATATTATATTAAAAAGTTTTAATAATTGTGTTTTTGTCATTTGTATTACTTTTTTTAAAATACATTTATATGGTTTTTATTGATTTGTATTTCAGTTTTAGTTTGACTTTTTTAGTAAATCAACTTTCAACCTAAATTAAAATTGAGAAATGTTGCCTTGGCAACTAGATTGAACAAAAAGTTTTAAAGGTTACTTTAAAGTTTTTAAGGTTTCAGTTTTAGTTCAGGTTTTTATAATAACCCGATACTTCAGGTTGTAAAATGTCTTTTTACCTTGTAAATAATATAATATATAATATAATTAAAAAATATATTTTACGACGTACAATAACAATTTGGCATGTGTTTAAAAAAAACATTAAATCATAAAAAATGCAACTCCTACATAGTTACTTTTTCAATGATGAGCATGTTTTTATTGTCTGAACTCATTTAAATCATTTTGATATTTTGGGGGGCATAAAGTAAGAAATGGTAACAAGTTCCGACCCCTGCAGACCCTCGTGACTCTGTGTCAAGTTCACTTAGGTTTGTCATTGACCCAGTTGTCTTGATTGAATTCATAGCATGTCATTTAATTTCCCATTCTTGTGTTTGCGTAGTCACAGTCATTATTGTCAGTTGCAATGCTTGCACAATAACATCAGATCGGTGCATATTCCAGTACAACACATGCATTGACCATATTTAGATCTTTTCCTTTCCATCGCTCATGTGATAGGCGCTGAACGTCCTCTAGTTTCCTTACAGAATCTAATCCATCTGTTCTTGCAGCATTGAGAGCCCCATCTGTCTGGGCATTGGAACAAAGAGAGCATTTTATGTGCAGTGATCTTCTATGCTGTCTTTGTAATTGTTAGTTAGCAGTGGAAGCTTTTAACGAGGGCTACCGTGCAGGAACACAGTCCATGTGCTGTGATGTTGATGAGGCCTCGGCTGCGTTCTCCTTAACTGTTGATGTATGAGGTAATCACAGGACATGGAGGGTGTGGGGTCCTTATGGTCCTGCAGAGACATGAAGGTGGTTTTGGTGCATTTTATTTCTATTGTAAATATGACCGCATGCTACCCCATGAGAGCATGAGTCCATGTGGTTTGTTCAAAGTTTTGTATGACGGGGAAGCTTCATTGTAGAACTTGTAATGATTATTCAGCAGCCTTAGAAGGATTTCCTTTTGAACTGGGTTAACTTTTGACAGAAATAGGCTTCGGTGGGTGAATCTTTTTGTTTTGTTTTCGTGTATGTTTCTGTCTGTTGTTTGCCTGACATGATTGTCGGTTTGCCTCATTACTTTTTACTGGACAGAAAGAGGCTTAACTATTTAATAAGGTTTCTTCTCAAGAATGTATTTCTTTTAATGAGGCTTTTTCTTAATTATGATATCAAGACAGTTGTATCATCCAGACATTTTTTAATGATTTATAATAAAAAAAAATACAAGCATACTCATCACTGAAGAAGTCACATAAATGACATTTTTAATGTAATGTTTTTTTTTTCTTTTTAAATGTATAGATTCTCCCAGGATAGAACAAAATTGGTCAAGGAAAAAAAATAAAAAATAGGGAAAAATTTCACTCATAAATTGCTATATTTCACTAATAATTGCAAATGAACAGTAAGCAACACATTGAATTAAAAGTGTTACAAAATTGGAAGTAGAAAGACTGATTTTTTTTTTTTTTTTTTTTTTTTTTTTTTGATAGAACAAAATTGGTCAAAGAAAAAAAATAAAAAATAGGGAAAAATTTCACTCATAAATTGCTATATTTCACTAATAATTGCAAATGAACAGTAAGCAACACATTGAATTAAAAGTGTTAAAAAATTGGAAGTAGAAAGACTGATTTTTTTTTTTGTTTTTGTTTTTTTGGTAAAACATACTTTCTTTTATTTACAACTTCGAAAAAAATATTGCTGGACTGACAAAGATAGGCGTAGAAACAATTTTCACTCAGAAGTTGCTAGTAAATTTCAAAAACAACTACATAGAAATGCCAAACAACACATTGAATTAAATGTGAAATTTTAAAGTAGAAAAATGTCAATATTATTTTCTTGTAAAACATACTCCGAAAACCTTTTTTCAATTTACAACTTTAAAAAAATATTTTTTTACATTATCAGCATGGTGTTTTTTTTCCATCTCTATAGCTTTCATCATCTATATCCCAAGTGTGTCCCAAGTGCTTGATTTTTTTTTTAGTTAAACTGACACTAAATTGCATCAGAATCTTTCCCGCCTGTGCTAATGTTGCTTGTTGACTTTAATGGTCACTCAGGTGGACAAGGTATTAAATCGATGGAATTTGACATGCAAGCAAACTTAAGGACAAAGCGCTCAAAGTGGGTGGTTTTGGTTATCAATACCGATTTGTGTTCTGGTCTGCCATTTTGTGGGCAGGGTGAAGAAGAAAAGGGGAGTGTGCAGAGAAAGTAAACTAAGTCTATTGTGTTTCATGTTGACCAAACTGCTGTGCTACTTTGCTTTTTAATTCAGTCTTGTTTGTCTGTCCTTCCCTTTGTGACATCTTGAGTGTCCTGTGTCTTTGTTGGCAACATTTCAACCCCCTGAAAGCCTTGAGGAACAACATCTCATCCTTTGATTTTGGCACATCCTAGCAGACTTGTTTCAGTGGACTTTTTGGAGGACATATAGAGGGTTTTGACATTTCTGGTAATGTTGCGCAAACTGAGTCATTGTGTGTGCTGATCCAAAGAATGCGAACAGATTCCTGTTAGTGTATTCATGAACACTAAGACTCAGAAGGGAAGGAAAACAGTTCTCAGTGAGTTTGGGATGAAAGTCAAAAACCTAGCCCTTGTATACCCAGATAGCATGCTGTTCGGAGAAACCTCATTAACAGCTCACATTCCATACTTTAGTCACCTTGTTTTGAAACTCACATTTTAATCAGGCGTTCAGAGGTATAATGCTTAATGTAGTGCATTTAAAATGAGTTTCCAGCTTGGATTTCAGATTAGGATCGTTTTTCAGAGCAATGTGCTACTTGAGGACATTTAAAAGAATACTCAAAGAAGAAAACTTAAAGCAAAAGAGTAAATTTAAATGTACTACTAACACTTACGTTTAAAAGTTTGAGATCTGTAAGATTTTTATTTTTGAAAGAAATGAATACTTTTATTAAGCAAGGATAGATTAAAATGATCAGTAAAGACATAGTTGCAATTTTTATTTAAAAAAAAAGAAAGCTGTTCCTTTGAAGTGTCTATTCAGCAAAGTATCCTGAAAAACAAAACAATCGCTGTTTTAAAAAATATGAATTTTTTTCAACATTAACAATAATAAGAAATATTTCTTGAGCAGCATATTAGAATAATTTCTGAAGGATCATGTGACTCTAAAGACTTGAGCAATGGCTGCTGAAAAAAAATCAGCTTGGCCATCATAAATAATAAATGACATTTTACAGTAATTTTAACTGTAACATTTTGTAAAAACGTTATGGAAAAAAACTGTTAATAGGTTAACAGTAAGTTCCCGTACTATACAGGGAAAAACTGTAAAATATCTAACCAGACATTTCATGTAATTTTACAGTAAAATGCTGTTAAGTTTTTAGAAGTAAAAATAACAAATCAATGTATAATTTACTGTCAAAAACTGATATTCCCAGAATTCCCTGCATGACACTCCACATTTGAAAGTTTTTTGTTTAAATAATCATGTTTTTTTAATAGTTTTTGTTATTAGTTATGTATATTTGGGCTTTATGTTACATCTTCTGTTGTTTAATGAAAGTTGAATGCATTATTTAAGTATAATGTGTGTTACCATGATGGTGTTTTGTGTTTGCATGGATGACTCTGTGCACCTTCTATATATTAGTATATACTTCTGCTTGTGGCGAAGCTACTTGTGATGAGCTTTGATTCTTCATGTGGCTTTCTCTTTTACCACCTGCATTATTATGGTGGTTGTCAGTATGTTAAAGGTACAAAACAGATTTTAATAGCAGTGTGCATTGTTGAATTTACTGGTTTACATTCAAATTTTCTTGTTTGTAAATTACAGTTGTATACTGTAAAATTTACAGTTTTTGGCCATAAATGTGTTTACAATTTTTCTGTATTTTTTACAAAATTATTCTGGCAACCACAGCTGCCAAAATTATTTTGTAAAAACCACAGCATTTTTTTTACAGTGTATATTAAAAGAGAAAATAGTTGTCTTAAATTGTAATAATATTTCACAATATTTCTGTTTTTACTGTATTTTTGGTCAAATAAATTCAGCCTTGGTGAGCTTAAGAATCTTCTCATTAAAAAAGAATACCAACCCCAAACACATAAATGGTAACATAAGTATTTTATAATATTTAAATGTAAACTTTTCAAGTAAAATTGGATTATTAGCCCAATATGATTGACAAAATGAAATGTACTTTGTACTTTAAAGACCTAAATTGAAGTACTAAAATTTCCTTATATACTCAAATAAAATACTTAAGTATAGAAAAGAAGAACAGTTATTCTAGTACTTTTTTACTTATATTCTAGTACAGTTATTCTAGTGACAAGTCTTGAT